AAAGATAATTATTTTACTCAATATTGACTTTTCCTTGGTGTATTCACTATACAAAGAATGCTATAAATCACAACTAAGTCTAAGTAAGATTAATTGATAAGTCTCTCTATATATAGCTATATAATTTTTAAAGGCCCATAGCACTGACTCTAATTTTCCGTTAATAGCACCCAAATAGTTTGCTGAAAATATAGATATGTGCTTCATCCTTTTATCAGTTTTGGGGATCAGATCCACTGGTTCACCCCAAAGTTAGGAACCTACTAGCTTAAAACCGTCTTTATCCTTCTAAATATTTTAACTAATATGTTTATGTCTCAAATGTCTTTTGCTTCTCCTTCTACTACTTCCTCTGCGTTAGTTTGTGCTGTATTAATTTTTCCAATCGCTTTCTCAATTTGGGTATCAATATTAATTACTCTTCACGTACTCCTGTCCATTTCATAATTTGAAATAACTTTTTAAAAAAATAAACAGAAAATAAACTCATATGCCCATTTTATCCATGAAAGCAAATGTGAATCTTTAACGGCAGCTTTACTAAGTACGTTTTATTTTGCTTATGTCTGTCATAGATAACACAGCCAGCATTCTGACAAGGCGGAGGAGATTTAGTCGAACTATTCAGGATGTGTATTATCTCCCCATTATGATCTCTGATGGTGGAATCCCCTCTCTCACCAGCAGCAGCACCCTCACCATCAGGGTTTGTGCATGCGAGAGAGACGGGCGTGTGCGGACCTGCCATGCGGAAGCCTTCCTGTCCTCGGCCGGTTTGAGTACAGGAGCCTTAATCGCTATTCTGCTGTGTGTTGTCATTCTCCTCGGTAAGTGGCTCTACATCCTCATGTTGGAAGGCGGTCATTCTGAATAGACCCTTCCTGGTCCATGGTCCATGGGGAGTGAAGGGGGACTGGATGGGAGAGACATCTTTACCAAAGTGAAGAGTTAAGACTGAATAATATGGTTTTTAAAAAACAAACAAACAAACCCAACCAACAGAATGGCACAGAATTCTTTTTAATGAACTTTCTTAATACTGTCTTTAATCAAAAACAAGTAATGATCAAGGTTGGGGGGAGGACATAAAATTTGAAAGAAAGGTTAGTTTTTAAGAAGAATAGGTATTAAAATGTTCCCAATACCACTATCTAATATCCAAAATATACAAGTGTATACAACTACAAATTTAAAACAAGACAAATAACCCAATAAAAAATGGACAAAGTCTGCAATAAACATTTCAC